CTATACAGCAGAATCAACCTGTGAGTAGTTTGTTGGTGATTTTACAGAATTTTCTCTGATGTCACTCCTTGTGATTATACAAATGATTAAGGCTGGTATTTTTTTCCAAGAAAGGTGGCAACCCTAACTACTCTTCACATACTCTTGCTTAAAAGAGCACTATAGGGTCAGAAACACAATCATATATTTCTGACCCTATTATGTTAAAACCACCACCCTGGCCCCTTCTTGCCTCCCTAAGTATAGTAAAATATAACTTGTATTCAAGTCTGCAGCTGCTGGCTCTGCCTCTGAACTGACTGTCTGCTGACATCATCAGAAGTGGTGGTCTGAGCAAATTACAATACTTCCCCATAGGATTGGCTGAGACTGTCAACTAGGCAGATCAGGGGCAAAGCCAGCACAAGTCCAACATAGCTCTGGCCAATCAGCATCTCCTCATAAAGATAAATTGAATCAATGCATCTCTATGAGGAAAGTTCAGTGTCTGCATGCAGAGGGTGGAGACACTGAATGGCAGTGCTGCACACTAGGCAGTACTGCCCCAGGAAGCACCTCTAGCAGCCATCTAAGGAGTGGTCAGTGGAGTTATTTTTTCTGAAAAGACAGTGTTTACTGTAAAAGGCCTGAACGGAATGATTCTTCTCACCAGAACAAATACAACAAGCTGTAGTTGTTCTGGTGACTATAGTGTCCCTTTAAGTTTGTAAGCTTAAGAGGAATGTATGGGAACAAAACTTGTGTGGACTGGATGACAATAAAATTAGTTTAGGTAATGCAGACATTGGCCTCTCTAACACTGTGGCATGTCCCCTTTCTTCTACACTCACTACATACATCTTTTCTCTGTCCCAGATTATATACCAGGAGCTTCTGCCTGCTAGTAAGAAGGTAAGGAGATAAGTGGACCAGCGAGTGCTAGGGGACAGTCCTTAGAAAGCATGGAGTGAGCGCATCATTAGATGCATGTATGTCAAGCTCAGGGTGCTGCCTGCATAGTATGCCCTTAGTTGGACAGCCTGCAGGATAGGCGGGCAGCCTGACATGCATTCATGCCAGGCTGTCCTTCAAATTCTTTGGACAGACATGCCCCCTTTTTGGGCATGTTCACCCCTTTTGGCAGGTCTGGTCACGTGATTTGCACCAGTGGCCCACCCTTTTACCCCGCCTATTGACTTCCTGCTTCACTGGACAGTGCTGTTAGGGGGTATGGATTTACTTGAAAGATGAAAGCATAAATTAGAGAGAGATAAGCATAGAGTATGTTTTTTCTTATAGCTACATCCTATGAGTTTCCCTCCAGCACCATCTCCATCAGATACATGACGCTTGGGATGTATGACTGTTTTAGTGTTTTTGGTCGATAAAATTCCGTAATTAGGCCCATCATAATTGTCAGCACCAGGCCCAGTGTGCTCTTAATCCGGCCCTGCATATAGCTGTTAACTGGCACAAAGGAAGTGGGGGAGGAGTTAGTAAAGGAAGCTGTTAACACAGGAATTTTGGTTACAGGAGGCCTGCTCTGATGGGAAGGGGGATGCTAGCAGGATGGGAGGAATTTACAGAGGAAATATCAACTGAACACATTGTAGGGGGGGGGGAAGGGAATATTTACTCTAGCAGCCAGTTTTAACATGGTGAACACAGAATAAATAGACATTAGTAAATAGCCATTTTATTTTAATTCATCTGTCCATAACACACTAATTTCAGAACTCTTAAGGCAGTTCTTCACTCCCTCACTGATTCAGATCTTGGTTGATTTGAGGTACCTATTACAATGCGGTCAGACCACGACACTGTTTCCCTCACGTCAACAGACAGGGCAGTGCCAGAGGCAAGGTCTGTTTCAGCTATGTACCAAAATGGTGTAGTGGGTTCAGGATCTCTGGGAGGTCCTCTCTCCATTCCACTCATGATGTGTCGACAATATCATCACCTACAACCTCCGCACAAGAAATTGGAATCAAGAGTAAGGGTCAATAGATCCGATCATGTTCACAAGAGATTTGCAGTGCCCAGATAGACCCTATGGCAAAGAGGGGGAAGGACAGATATTTCACGTTGAATAGTTGGTCTATCTATCTAAGGGTATTTCTCCAGGCTTTCATTTTTTCTACTATAGACTGTTCCCAAAACTTGTTCAAAGAGCGTATGGACAGATAAGTGGTTCTGCCAGTCTTTCCGTACTGGCCAAACACAAGCCAGTTTTCGGTCTTGGTGGGGATGACTTCAAGTTTGGGGTTCTTCCGATCTCGAAAACACTTTCAGAAGACAGGATATCCTACTGGAAGTGTTGAATAGGTTCTTAATGATGGTAGAGCACTGCATGGTGGATCCTTCATCTCCTGAATCTTGATGAGTCACAGTCCACGTGTTGCGTATAATCTACTAGTCCCTCTATCACACCTTACACCTTACAAAACGTCAGACATTTTCAGGCTAGATGTATTCTCGGCCTCTGAAATTGTGCTAGCGCGTAGGTACTCCAAGCTGTTTAGGCATAAGGTCCACCCGTTTGGAAATCATGCTATATCCCATACGTACTGCCACCATGTCAGAAAAAGATTTTTTTTTTACTCACCGTAAATTCTTTTTTTCTTAATATGGTGGCAGTACCAATCTCCCTCCCTCTAAATTACAATTTTGCTTAGTAAAAGTAAAATTTTGCTGAGTAAAAATTTCTGTTTTATGACATAGTTCTCAAGGAAAAAGCGTAAATTCATACTAAACAAAATGCTTTCTGGCTATTCTATAGAATAGGCTGGCATGGGCTGATTTGGGAGGCGGGCGGCGAGGCAGCACTCTGAGCTCTTCCCTGCTCAGCTCTGCATAGATGCCGGAGCCGGAATATGACGTCACTCCGGTATCACAAAGAGGCGTACAAGGGAGATGAACAGGAGGATCACTGCTCCATCGCCGCCTCAACTATGAGTCTGCCTGCCCGCCCCGCGTGCCTGCCAGCCCGCCAGCAGCCCCACTGGACCCCAGGGAAGAAGCCACCAAAATGTAAGCACATAAAAAAAAAATTGTGAGTGTGTTAGTGTGTCTGTTAGTGCAAGTGTGTTTGTTTGTGTCTGTTTGAAAGTGTGTGTGTGTGTTGGTGAGTGTCAGTTTGTGTGTTAGTGAGTGTGTATGTCTGTTAGTGAAGGTGCATGTCTGTCACTGAGACAGTGTTTCTGTCAGTCAATGTGTATGTCTGTTAGCGAATGTGTGTCTCTGACACTGAGTGTATATGTGTCAGTGAGTGTGTATGTGTCTTGTCAGCTAGTGTGTATGTGTATCTGTCAGGGAATGCGTGTGTCAGTTAGTGTGTCTGTCGCTTAGTGTGCGTGTCTGTTGGTCAGTGAATGTGTATGTTTCAGTGAAAGTGTGTGTTGGTTAAATAGTGCATGTGACAATGACTGTGTATGTCAGTGTATGCATCAGTGAAGGCGTGTGTCTGTTAGGCAGAGAGCGTGTTGATTTTTAACAGGAAGTGAAATTCAGAAGGGGGGGATGCCTGAGTTTTGTCATGCCTAGGTCAGCACAAAACCAGAATACACCACTGTTCTTATGTCTAAAGCAAAGGATGAGCTGCAAATACAACTTGAGTAAAGTGTATAAAACTCAGCACAGTAGAAAATACTGCATAAATCTTAGCTCTGAAAAATAAGCAACATCACTTTTCATGTATAGACCAATATAAACACATGAATAATTTATTTTAAATTGGCTATATTGTTTTATAACATGAGCAACCTTCCCATGCAGGGAAGGATAGTGATCAAAAAGGAACATTCAACAAAATCATATGCCACACATACACTTTTCAGGTGAGATTATAACAGATAAAGTAAAGAACATCCACATGAAATAGTACCTTAAGTGGGTTAGGCAGTTAGCATAGTTAGCACTGTCTAGCATATAAAAGAATAAATAGACAATGAATATGAAGTTGGTATTAACATACAGACATGCTGAGTTGTAAGAGAAATACAAATAGGGTGCACATTAAGGTTGAAAGTAGAAACCATAGGGATGGCATGCATCCAAGCTAATAAACTGGCATCAACCAAAAACCCATACTTGCCATATGTGTCCCATATCAAAAATGAAATCGCAGAAATGGAAAAGGAACCACACTCAATTCACTTAAGACAGGGTGCCTAGCTGATCTAAGGGTCAGCACAAGCCCAGAAGATAATTAGTACTGTGATGGGATTTCAACATGGTTCAAAATTTAGTAGGCCTAAAACCTCCATGAGGCATATACAAGTACAGTTGTTTGTTGTATCTGTTAGTTAGTTACATGTAGCTAAGATACTGTCATCAATGTACTGAGCATGTGCATCAACTATAATCACATTCCTTTGTCCTTAAATGAGTCATGCAGTCTGCCCATGTGAGTGGATCCTGAATATCCTGTTCACTGATTGGTCTAAGGGTATGTGTGAGTGGAGCTATGAATGGGAGGAGTTATTGTTAATAAAAAGCATTTGCAATCTTTACTCTGGGCTCAGATATTTTTAGAACAGGACCCGATCAGTAACAATAAAGACCTTTTTCTTCCTGAACGAACCTGCTTCCATCTCTTCGTGTGAGGCTTCTGCGGCTTATTCCTGCAACATAACTGGTACATTGGCGCCGGGAACCTCATTGCACGGAAGCCGGCGCAGAGATTTGATACAGTAAACTTTTACCAAATCTTCCACGGCAGCACCCCTGGACTTCTACTGTGTGGACCTCCATTCGTCTCGGCGCCACTGGCCTGTTGTCCAGGAGATCATCGGCTTCTGCGCATTGAGTACCGGGGTGTCTTGTCGATGAGTGTGAACCCAGGTCCAGGAACTTAAAGGTAAGACTGTGAACCCATGAAAGGGTAGAAATCTGTATCCGGTAATCTGATTGCCCCCTTGCTATGAAGGGAAGATATGAAGGCGCACCGTATATCTGAAGTTTGACACTCTGTAGCTAGCCCGTTTAACACATGGACTGTAGTCAGGCTGAATTCTGTTGTGTGTGTATATATGTTCAGCTGGACACCGGTATCCTGGCTTGACTAAGTGTAATCCTGTTGTAAATTCGGTCACTAGATCAGGGGATACCGGCGAGAATAAGCGAGATTCTGTTGTATATTCCGTCTGCTAGCTCTCACGCTATCTTGACTAAGTGTGTTTTGTTGTACATTCAGCCACTATATCATAGATATAATATATAGACTAAGTGGATTTTGGTGTACATTCCGTCCACTAGATCGTGGTGCCTGGGCAGCGTTGGCTAGTTGAATTCTGGTGTACATTCCGTTCACTAGTCCTCAAGGTGCTGGCTAGTAGAATAGTTGGGTTTTACTGTAAATGTTGTATAGATGCGTTATAATTGGTAACCTTGTAAAATCTGGTTGGAATAGATCGTATCGTCAATGTTGAATCTTCTTAATTTCTTCTTGTCTTCAGTTGATTGATATACACCTCTTTTGTATATACATTCTTGGGCCAAATAAAATGCTCGCCACATTAATATATGTCTATATTAATGAAAAGTACTAATACGCAATCTGACTTACGGTTTCTTCACGTTTATTCTTAGTTACTGATACATAATAAAACAACAAATGATGTTACAGGATAATGGACATTCAACAGCAGATGGTAATTGCTGGACTTCTTATCGGAGAGTTACATCTTGTACAGGAAAGAGAGCCAAGAGAGAGCCATGAGACCTCGTGTGTCTTTGTTCTGTTACTATATAGAAGTGCCATAATGACGTCAGACTATAACTCTAGCCATATAAGGACAAGACCCCCAAATCCACACTCCAGAGCTCTCGGACAAAGAAAGCCTTGTGAATTATACCATCTGTTACTTATGTCAATTCACACATCCATATATAATCAATAGAAACATAGAATATACAATATTCTACATTCCCTCTGTTTATGGTTTGTCTTAAAACCATAACACAATGTCACTTACCTTTCCATTCATATATCACTCGTATCACAGTCATTGAACATAGAACAAGATGTAGTCACAACTTTCT